CTCCCCGCCTCTGTCAGAGTGCAGACGCAGAACACGAAAGTTCGAGCCAAAACTCTCTCTGAGCTGGAGACGAGCTGCGCGGATCCAGTCGATCAACACCTCAGTGACGTCACCCTTGCTGCGCAAGGGGAACACCGTGGTGTAACGCGAGTAGTCGTCAACCACCAACAGGAAGTAACGCTCGTGACCCTGGCCACGGACGCGGGCGGGGCCCCACACGTCCATGTGAAGAGTCTGCAACGGAGCCTCTGTCGGAGGAAACTCGGAGGAGTGAGGGGCGGCGCGCTGCTGCCCCTCGACGCAGGGAACGCAGGTAGGGGCAGGCCCCGGAGGTAGGGGAGGGAGGACCAGGGGAGACCAGAAACAAGGACACGGGAGGCCATGCTTCGGAGACAAGGCAGGGAGGGGTGACCAAGGCGGTGGTGCCAAAGGAGGGTCTGGTGGGACAGGAGACGACACGAGCAGGGAGCAGACTCAGGACCAGACCTGGACACTGCAACAAACACCTGACTCGACGCAACTACCTGACCAGGCGCAGCAACCGGAGGAGACTCAGTAGTCAGTGTGTACAGGCTCGACCTCGGCCGACGGGTAAACGTGGCCAAGTGTCGGCCCGTCCGAGCACACGTACAGTGGGTCACCCGCTGACTCGCAGGAGTGAACTGGTCAACCCCCCTATCCTGTAGATCAGCTCCACTCACCAAGTTCGTAGAGAACGAGGGGAGGTAGAGACCTGACAGGGTGCCAGAGGGGGCTGCCGGACACGGTAAGACAGTGGAGAAGCGAACAAGGACAGGACCCCCAGAGGGGTCCGCCAGGGAGACCGCAACCGGCCGACTAAGCGACGTAAGCGTGGTGCGGTCTCGAAAAAAGGAGCGGGAAGCACCCGAGTCAAGGGTGAAGGTGTGTAAGGCCTAAGACGACGTGGTACCTGAGAGAGCAGACTCACCAGCACCTGGGGCAGAAGACGCACTAGCACCTAGAGCAGCAGCCTCTCCAGCACCTATTGCAGCAGCCTCAATGCTCGGGTCAGGCGGAACACACAGGTAACAGTCACCCTCATCACTAGTAGCCAATGCATACATGGCAGTGAGGATAGCATCATAGTCAAGAGTATAGATATCTACCTGCAGCCGAAGTAGCTCCACCCAGTCGGGAAGCTAAGCCGCGTCGCCAAACTCCGTACGCCAGGCGTCGCTCAGACGGGCGAAGCAGTGGGACTCTGCGTGACCAAACGTCCCGCAAGGCTGACCAGTCCGAGCACCAGTGCAAATGACGTATGGACAGCGAGCAGTACCCCGTGACCCGTCAGGCTGAGCGTACCACTCACGAAGCTGCTGGGGCGAGAGGACCGCGCGCGGACGACGCTGAAGCTGCACCTCGCCACTACAAGCAGCTGCCGAACTACTTACCCTAGGACGACTCCCACTACGGCCACCCTGACAACCCCAACTAGCGTACCACTCACGAAGCTGTTGGGGGGTGAGGGACTCACGCGGACGGCGCTGGAGCTGCATCTGGACACGCCAGGAGCAGCAGTAGCAGTAGAAAGAGCAGTAGCAGCAAGAGCAGCAGTAACAGCAGTACAGGCAGGGCAGTGATCACCAGTGGCGAGAAGGGAAGGCGTACAACGGCTGCAATGGCGAGGCCGCTACCACTGTAGGACGAGGGCTCCGCGCCAGCTACAGGGGCGGCTGCTCCAGGGGCGGCTGCTCCAGGGGCGGCTGCTGCAAGGGCGGCTGCCCCATAGGCGGCTGCTTCAGGGTTGGCTGCTCCAGGGGCGGCTGCTGCAGTGGCGGCTGCTCCAGGGGCGCCTGATGCAGGGGCGGCTGCTCCAGGGGCGGCTGCTGCAGGGGTGGCTGCTCCAGGGGCGGCTGCTACAGGGGTGGCTGCTCCAGGGGCGGCTACTGCAGGGGCGGCTGCTCCAGGGGCGGCTGCTACATTGGTGGCTGGTCGAGGGGCGGCTGCTGCAGTGGTGGCTGCTCCTGGGGCGGCTGCTTCAGGGGTGGCTGCTCCAGGGGCGGCTGCTGCAGGGGAGGCTGCTCCAGGGGCAGCTGCTGCAGTGGCGGCTGCTCCAGGGGCGGATGCGACAGGGGCGGTTGCTCCAGGGGCGGCTGCTCCCGGGGCGGCTCCTGCAGTGGCGGCTGCTCGAGGAGCGGCTGCTGCGGCGGCTGCTGCTCCAGGGGCGGCTGCTGCTGGTGTGGCTGCTCCAGGGGCGGCTGCTGCAGTGGCGGCTGCTCCAGGGGCGGCTGCTGCAGGGGCGGCTGCTCCAGGGGCGGCTGCTGCAGGTATGGCTGCTCTAGGGGCGGCTGCTGCAGTGGCGGCTGCTGCAGTGGCGGCTGCTCTATGGGCGGCTGCTTCAGGGGCGGCTGCTCCGGGGGCGGCTGGTTCAGGGGCGGCTGCTCCAGGGGCGGCTACTGCAGGGGAGGCTGCTCCAGGGGCGGGTGCTGCAGTGGCGGCTGCTCCAGGGGCGGCTGCTGCAGTGGCGGCTGCTCCAGGGCGCGGGTTAGGGGAGGGCGCCGCGGCGGGCAGCGGTGACGCCACGCGGGTCCCACAGGGGCGTCGCGACGCACAGGAGCCGCGCCCCGCGGGTCCCGCAAGGGCGACGCGACGAGGCGGGGGCGACGCGGCGGGGCCGCGAAGGGCGACGGGGCGGGGTCGCTACGGGCAGCAGGGCGGGGCCGCGAAGGGGCCGCGAAGGGAGCCGCGATGGAGTCGCGAGGGGGCCGTGAAGGGGCCGTGAAGGGGCCGGGAAGGGCGACGGGGCGGGGTCGCTACGGGCAGCGGGGCGGGGCCGCGAAGGGGCCACGAAGGGAGCCGCGAGTGGGCCGTGAAGGGGCCGTGAAGGGAGCCGCGAGGGAGCCGCGAGGGGGGGCCGTGAAGGGGCTGTGAAGGGGCCGTGAAGGGGCCGCGTAGGGGCTGTGAAGGTGCCACGAAGGTGCCACTAAGGGGCCGCGAAGGGGGGCCGCAAAGGGGCCACGAGGGGCCTGAAGGGGCCGCGAAGGGCTGTGAGAGGGGCCGTGAAGGGGCCACGAAGGTGCCACGAAGGGGACGCGAAGGGAGGCCGCGAAGGGGCCACGAGGGGCCTGAAGGGGCCGCGAAGGGCCGTGAGAGGGGCCGTAAAGGGGCCACGAAGGTGCCACGAAGGGGCCGCGAAGGGAGGCCTCGAAGGGGCCACGAGGGGCCTGAAGGGGCCGCGGGAACGGCCGTGAGAGGCCGTAAGAGGGGCCGCTACGGGGCCGTAGGGGAGCGCGACGGGCCACTAAGGGCAGGGGCGAAGCGCGCTCCGGGCAGGAAAAAAAAATCGATATTCGGTGGGTTTAGGAAACGTTCCCACTAGGGAACCTGCTCTATACCATGTGAGAGAACGAGGAATATGGATGAACTAACAAGCAGGTGGGTACAAGTAGGAAAACCTAGAAATGTTGTACCCCATATTGTCTACCCCACTACAGCCTACACAGACTATAGCATATAAGTTTGACACATACGTCCCCTCAACAATGCAAACGCACATTTGACAGGACGCCTTATCGTGAACCCCTCCAAGTTTCCTAGGACAGCAATATTCGTTTTAGGCAGATTAGATGCACCAAATGTCTTCCGGGAAGCCGTATTTAATGAGCTGCGCGTTCTCGAACTTGTCGAGTCCCATGTAGATGGTGAAGTCGCCCGCTTCGGGGCGGGCGGGTCAAGCTGCACCTTGAAGTAAAACACCCTCGTAACAAGCCGCTAACGTGGCAATTGCGGGGTGAAGGCCTCTCTCGTCAACAGAACGAGGAGGCTAAGATTGTAAATCGTAATGCTTGGTCCGGTTAACTGAAACAACGCTGGTGATTGCCGCGTCTTGCGAAACAATGCTAGTTTGCAGAATCCAGCGACGTCAACCCCCACGCTAGCTAGTAAGCATGACATGCAAGAAACTCGGCGCCACAGAGAGATTACCGCTGCATGTTGCGGAGCAATATCAGAATGTGAAAAGGCGACACGATCGTCGATTCATAGGCTAGAAGGTCATTCATGCTAGTTGCAGAGTCTAGAGTTTAGGTTGTTGCTGCTATGGCAATACGAGGTGGTGTCTGTCATAGCTCATGGGTGGGGACTCCCCACGGGACTAGCCAAAAAGTGTGCTTTCACATTAAAAATAGTGACGGTGTTAAGGGGGGATTTACTGTTCATTCCGAACAGTACTTTCCAACTCACCCTTATCCTTATCTTCCTTGATTTCCTAGTGCCACGTGGCAATCTACCTTTCTTGCCTTCAATTTCTAGTCCCACGAAGTACTTTCCAACATTCGATCTTGCATGCTATATCAACCTTGCTTGTACTTGCCATTATCAACCAATTCTAATTCAACTCTTCTTCAACTACTCAGTAATTTCCTCGCCTACTTCGCCAATAGTTCTTTCGCCAAAGTCTTCCGCCGCATTTCATCCTCGACTTAGTCGAACCAGCTAATTCTTTAGCGGACTTAGGCCGTCGGGCCTAACAGACGGCGATTGGATGGCGAGTTGCGGAACAAAACACCTGGGCAACGAGTGTAGCGAATTCTCCTATATTCGCTAACCCAACCAATGTCATAGGGCTACGCCTGCGACCTCCGAACCTAAACCATGGTACCCAAGCGAAAATCGCCAACTTACCATACCACACTCGCGAAAGTTGGGACCACAAGATACGGTTTGGTAGTCGGGCACCTGCCACCACCGTACCAAACTGTTTGGTTTGCAGTCAATCGCAGCTGCACCAAACCAAACCCGACAGTTTTGCGAGTGACCGTTCGGTTACCAAGCGCACTACTTTTGGTCGGAAACAAGAAATTTGAGACGCCGGAGATACGACACGAAACGCTCACCATACCTATAGCGCCCGTCGTGCCTGTTAGGAGAAACCGCCATAGCAGCACTGCGACTTAGTCGCCAGATCCGCGACCTAGCCGCCAGATCCGCCACCTATCCGCCTGATCGGCCACCTCTATTCGACGGGCGCTGCTATACGCATGGCGAAAATGAACGAGCTAGTGATAGCAGGGATGAATTTCACGTGCGTGCTGGCGGCCGTGGCGGAGTATCAGATGCCCGAGAAGGAATGCCTCCTCAATCTGCTGGCCAAGGCGCTGGGCTACGGCATCATTCTTGGATCCACGATTCTGAAGCTCCCGCAGGTGAAACGCGATCCCAATGAAGGATAATTGATTACAATATGAGGTCGATTACAATATGTCTTTCATGGTATTAATGCTCCCACCAGTGAATAGGATTCTGAAATCTGTACGTAAGTTGATTCGGGAACGCGACTCACGATACTAGAGCCCCCGCAGGTGAAGTGAGACACTGTGATTGGTTAGCGACAGATGCTAAGGTCCGGCGACGTCGTCCCGTAAATCCCAAAGCGAGTTCGCTGTGCGAAATTGAGCCGCAAAGGTGGTGGTGTGCGTGTGCGGCGACGGCAATTGTCGCAAGAGCAGAGACTGTGTGAGTGTGTTGGTCGGACGAGGCAAATTTAACAACGGTGGTTGGAAGCGGCTTGCCATGCCAGACGCGCACAAGCCTCAATTGAGAAAGGCTGGTTGGGAGCGGCTTGCCACACGCGCACAAGCCTGAGCGGCTTGCCACACGCGCACAAGCCTGAGCGGCTTGCCACGCGCGCACAAGCCTGAGCGGCTTGCCACGCGCACAAGCCCGAGCGGCTTGCCACACGCGCACAAGCCTGAGCGGCTTGCCACGCGCACACAAGCCTGAGCGGCTTGCCACGCGCACACAAGCCTGAGCGGCTTGCCACGCCAGACGCGCAAAAGCACAATAGTCGTCACAGAGAGGTACTAGGGTCGTCGCTGTCTATTGAGTCGACTCTAAAGTCGAGGGTCTCAGAGAGGTACTAGGGTCGTTGCCACACGCTCGATTTAACAACGGTGGTTGGTTGGGAGCGGCTTGCCATGCCTCGCGCACAAGCCTCAAACCCAAGAGAGGTACCCAAGAGAGGGTCGTCGCTGTCTCGCAAGCCGTTAATGACTGGGCACTAGTAGCACTATGGAGCGGGTACCACCCCTTAAGATCGCACATATAAATGGTTATATTTCGTTTTGCCTTTTTTGCCAACCTTTTTGCAGATTCTCGTGATCATCCGCAGCAACAGCATCGAGGGCCTGAGTGTACCGTCGTTTGAAATCGAGTGTATTGGCTACACTGTCTCTGTGGGGTACTGCCTCTTTAAGAAGGTCCCCTTTACTGCATATGGCGAGCTGTTCTTTCTCCTCCTACAGTGTAAGCATTTGTTATGCGTTGTAACGAGCAATCACTTTCGTTTTTTCACACGCTCCGGTCGCCTGTTGGCTCTCTGCTTCTGTCCCTACACTCGTTTACGGTTAGAGTTGACCGCCTTCGCCCTTCGTGCATTTGCAGGGCAAAAAGCTTTACGTTACTTCAGATACCCATCCCTGTCCCTCGCTTTCCCTCCACACCCCCTTCCCCCCATCTCCCCCCTTCTCCAACACACCCACTCTGTCCCCTTGTGCAATTCTCATCGTTCTTATGTACTAGCATGTGCCCAACCATGCTCTTGACTCCTTAAAAGGCAGAAGTTTACTTTTGAGGCGCCTCAAAAGTATCCTCATGTTCCTCATGTACCAGCATATGCCCAACCACGCTCTTGACTCCTTGGAAGGCCGAAAGTTTTGTGTTCTGGTTTCCCACCTTGTCCCTCTTTCTCCCTCCACACCCTCTCTCCCCCACCCCTCCCCCCACCCATCACCCCCCACGCTCCCCCCCTCCTCTACCCCCCCCCCCCCCCCCCCCCCTTTACTCTTTCCCCCTGGGCAGCGCTCATCCTCATGTTCCTCATGTCCCCTTGCTCTCCTACCCCTCTCCATATTTTCTCCTCTCCCCTCCCCTCCCCCCTGGGCAGCGCTCATCCTCATGTTCCTAATCTACTCGCATCTGCCCAACCAGGCAGCCACCACATGGATCAAAGTGGGCATGTGAGCCCCTTTCCCCTTTCCCTCCCCCCTTCACTCGCATTTGGCCTGAACATGCCCACCACATGGGTCGAAGTGGGATTGTGAATGGCACATGTTAGGTCACAAGGTCCCAATAGGATAAAAGCGGAAATGCGTATGCGAGTCCCTCCCCCCTCCTCCCGCATTGCATATAATCTGCCCATGACCATGACCATGCCCATGCCCATGCCCATGACTAGACATGAGCATCGGGCGAACACCGAACATGTTCGGTTCGCCGGAACATTGTTTGGGGATTAGGGGTGTTCGAGGTTCGTCATAGGAGGGCGAACACTGCATGTTAGGGGCGAGGTTCGAGGTTCGAACATGTTCGAGGTTCGTCATAGGAGGGCGAACACTGCATGTTAGGGGCGAGGTTCGAGGTTCGAACATGTTCGAGGTTCGTCATAGGAGGGCGAACACTGCATGTTAGGGGCGAGGTTCGAGGTTCGAACATGTTCGAGGTTCGTCATAGGAGGGCGAACACTGCATGTTAGGGGCGAGGTTCGAGGTTCGAGCGTGCGTTTTCATTGGGCCTGCTCCTCCCCCGTCGCCCCCCCCCTCTCCCCTTCCGAACATCGAACATGTTCGGCCGAACATTTATTACCAAAAAACCTCTGTTCGGCTTGGTCACGAGCATGTTCGGACGAACCGAACATGTGCATGGCAGAGAGGGCTATGACCGTTGGTCTGTCAATGCTCTCTGCTTGGATCAAGATGGGTATATTCGATGACCCATCATGTGGATTCAGCAATATATTATATAAATGAAGACCCAGCTCTCTCTCTCTCTCTCTCTTAAGCAACTACACATCCGCTTTTCTCTTCTCAGATCTTCTATGCTGTCTGTTTGTGCTCTACCAGTGCTGTTTTGAGACGTGGCTCTCAAAACCCTTCTTCAAACACGTGGCTCTTCTCAGATCTTCTATGCTGTCTTTTGAGGCGCCTCAAAAGTCTTCTATGCTGTCTGTCTGTCTGTCTGTCTGTCTGTCTGTGCTCTACCAGTGCTGTTCTCACGCCACTCCCTGCACCCACTTCTCTCCCCCTCTCCCCCCTTTCTCCTGCTTTTAAACAGCTACTCCGCCATGCTACCAGTGCTCTTCTTTTCTCAGGGGCGAGGAGTGCACAGCACACCCCGACACCACCTCTCTTCCCCCTTTCGTCCCTCCCATTGACACCCTCCCCCCACCCCGCCCTCTTCTCCCCACCAGCTACTCCGCCATGGTACCAGTGCTCTTCTCAGGGGCGATGAGCGCACACCTGTACGAGACCATCTATGTAAGTAGGCCTTCTTTTGAGTCGACTTAAAAGCAGACTCAATATGAGGCCACACCTTTACGAGACCATCTATGTAAGTAAGCCTGTTTTTCAAAAGGGCACTTGAGGGGCGCACCTGTACACGACCACTGACGAGAATGGTCTGCCTGATTATCTTGCCTTTTTGGTCAAAGAGCACCGGTATAATAACTTTACAAGATCAGCCGTGCTGATTTCTTGGCCTTTCACTCTCTCTGTTGAACTAACGAGTTGCTACGGGGGGGTAGGAAAGAGGTGTGCTCTTTAGCTAGCCAGTAAGTGTGCTCGGCGCGCCTAAAGCAAAATGTGCATTGTGTCAATTCAACTTGTCAATTCGTCAACTTGTCTTGCTACAAGCAGCAGAAGTTGACAAGTCATTTTTTGAGTCGACTCACTACATGCAATTCAAGTTTAAAACGTGCATTGTTAACTTTTCAACTTGTCAACAACCAGCAGAAGTTGCGTGATTGTTTATTTTTAGCAGCACCACTCTGCCATGACCCTTCCAGATTTTTGTCAATCATCCATTTTGTCACTCACTACATCCTCTCCACTCTACTCCACTCCACTCCACTCTAATTGCCACTCCATCAAGTCCCTCCATCACGCATGCTAGCTGCATTCCTCCACATTCTCACGCGCTGATTCAACTCTAAGCGGGGACCCATGGTCCCATGCCATCTCATCCTTCAATGCATGCTTTGAGACGTCTAACAGCTCAAAACTTTTGACACGCCTCACAACACTAAACTGGATCCCATGGTCCCATGGTCCCATCCCATCTCATCCTTCTATGCATGCAAAAACACCCAAACGGCTCTGTTCATCATTGTGTTGTTTTGATTCAACTCAGAACAAACCAAACCAGGTTTGCATCCCATACCGATTCAACCCCGTTATGTGATCACATGCAGAACGCTCAAACGGCGCTCTTCACCATAGGACGCATCCCTCAGATGTGGAGTAACTATGTGGTGAGCTTTGTGCATTGGCTTCTGAGTCGCCTAAAAAAAAGAATCTTGTATCCTTTCGCGAATCCGATTCAGTTTTGAAGTCACCTGACGAAAACGCATCCTTGGGATCGGTTTGACGTAGTGATGAGCATTGAGCAGGCCTAGTTGTGCCCACGGCAGCCGCAAAAGCTATGCACATGCTATGCGCGGTTCTGATGACTGCTTGTTGCTCCCTGCTTGTTGCTCCCTGCTTATATCGAAATCACTTTTGAGTCGACTCAAAAGGTTCTGATGACTGCATGTTGCTCCCTGTGCTGCATGTTGCTCCCTGTGCTGCATGTTGCTCCCTGTGCTGCATGTTGCTCTTTGTGCTACATGTTGCTCCCTGTGCTGCATGTTGCTCCCTGTGCTGCATGTTGCTCCCTGTGCTGCATGTTGCTCCCTGTGCTGCATGTTGCTCCCTGTGCTGCATGTTGCTCCCTGTGCTGCATGTTGCTCCCTGTGCTGCATGTTGCTCCCTGTGCTGCATGTTGCTCCCTGTGCTGCATGTTGCTCCCTGTGCTGCATGTTGCTCCCTGTGCTGCATGTTGCTCCCTGTGCTGCATGTTGCTCCCTGTGCTGCATGTTGCTCCCTGTGCTGCATGTTGCTCCCTGTGCTGCATGTTGCTCCCTGTGCTGCATGTTGCTCCCTGTGCTGCATGTTGCTCCCTGTGCTGCATGTTGCTCCCTGTGCTGCATGTTGCTCCCTGTGCTGCATGTTGCTCCCTGTGCTGCATGTTGCTCCCTGTGCTGCTTGTTGCTCCCTGTGCTGCATGTGTTCGCATCAGCGCTTGCGTGCTTGTTCCATCTCATGCCGTCTCATGCTGTGTCCTGCTGTGCCCTGCCATGTCCTGCTGTGTCCTGCCGTATCTTGCTGTGTCCTGCTATCTCATGCCGTGTCTTGCTGTGTCCTGCTGTGCCTTGTCCCATTCCATGTCATGTCCTTCGTATCGGGTTATGCCATCTTGTCATTCCTTTGCCATGTCGTCTTACTTTGCTTGACTTTTGAGGTGCCTCAAAAGTTGTCATTGCTTTGCCGTGTCATCTGACTTTGCTTGCATGCCATGCGAGTGACTTCCCCTGACTGTTTTTTCTAACAGCCCATACTCCACCGGCTATGCCATTGCCATGTCACACCCCCGTATCACTTCATGCTCATCTCGTCACGGCCATGCGTGTTTTGAGTCGACTCAAAAGGCTTCCCCTGACTGTTTATTTACGCCCCATACTCCACCGGCCCATACTCCACCGGCCCATACTCCACCGGCCCATACTCCACCGGCCATGTCATGTCACACACCCGTGTCACTTTATGTTCATCTCGTCACGGCCATGCCATTATGTCATGCCATCTCATGCCATTTCATGCCATGTTCGCATGCACTGCCATGTTCGCATGCACTGCCATGTTCGCATGCACTGCCATGTTCGCATGCACTGCCATGTTCGCATGCACTGCCATGTTCGCATGCACTGCCATGTTCGCATGCACTGCCATGTTCGCATGCACGGCCATGTTCGCATGCACTGCCATGTTCGCATGCACTGCCATGTTCGCATGCACTGCCATGTTCGCATGCACTGCCATGTTCGCATGCACTGCCATGTTCGCATGCACTGCCCTGTTCGCATGCACTGCCATGTTCGCATGCACTGCCATGTTCGCATGCACTGCCATGTTCACATGCACTGCCATGTTCGCATGCACTTCCATGTTCGCATGCACTTCCATGTTCGCATGCGCTGCCATGTTCACATGCACTGCCATGTTCGCATGCACTGCCACGGGCACTCTTCTGCCATCTCCTACGAGCAGAGCAAGAGCACGGGGCAGCTGAGTGTGTTCACCACATTCCTCACCTTTGCTGGCTGCATTGGTAAGCACCACTCACCCTCCATTCTGTAAGTCAATCAACCACCTCACTTTCTTTGAGTCGACTAAACAAATCAGTCACCTAACTCTCCCATCCATGAACTGACTCCTGAGGTTCCTCAGACATCCACTCAGTATGAATGAAATCACCTTTTTCTCTTGACGACTAGAGCGATGCCAGTTCTGCCTGCCAACCCTTTTGAGGTGCCTCAGACCTCCTTCCATTGTTCAGTATGAATCAAATCACCTTTGTCTCTTGACTACTTGAGCGAAGCCAGTTCTGCCAATCCGTCTTGCAATGTAAGGCATGATCGTTGGTAATCCAACTCACTGCCAAGATTCTGCGAGACCAAACAAGCATTCATATAGGCACTCACTGACCAGCCTTGATTCTGTAGAGGAGAAGGTGTGCTGCTGCATTGGGAGGTTTTCCTGCTCTGTGCTTCACGATTCGTTTTCTCCTCTTCTTGGTGTTCTTTTGTCCTCCCCATGCCGCAGCCCGTCTGTTCACGTCTATCCAAGAAAAGGCCCCTCTAAGCAGTAAGGCACCCCTCACATTCCCTCGTCAATCCTTCGTTTCTTAGCTACTCATTTTCTCATCCGCTTTCTTTTGTTTTTTGCTAGTCACGGTCTTTTACCTTGGTTTCCCCTCACCATCCCGCTTTCCTTCATTGCCCACCAAACCCACCCCGCCCAAGCCTTCCCCCCACCCCACCCCACCGCCGCATTCCCACCACTCCAACCCAAGCCTGGCTGTGTCCGGCGTACGCGTGTTAGCGTTTGTATCTGTGTTTCCTCCTCCCATTTTCTATATTCCCTGTCGTGCTTCGCAGTGGCCATTGGTAGCATTTTGGGCGTGCTATCACACGGCACCATCTTTGCGCAAATAGTGTACTACACCTACATTTGCAAAGGAAAAGCAAGTGTGACCGCTGTCACCAAGAGGAGCACCGGCAAGAAAAATGAGAAATCCAAGGGTATGGAGAGTAAGGCTAAGGCTGGAAAAGACAAGAGCTCATGATTATGGAGGGTCATTTTTCTACTTCATATGCTACACCGTACCATCTCAACATGCTTTGAAAATACTGGTTCTATACTGATAAACGTTTTGCTTCTGTAGAAACCAGACGTAAACCACGGTAGTCACGAGAAATGACTGGCCAGTGGAGAGAAACAAGTGGAGGGGTGTAAGGAAAATCCCTTTTCCTTACTTCGCATCCCTGCTCATCGCGTACATCACTGTAGCACCTCAGTCAGCACCGTTACCACTCGCGACCATCGCATCGACACACATCCCGCCATTTTCGCACATCGCACCCCGACCTCACGGCTCGGCGGGTAACCCGCGCTCCGGGCCTACGCTTCGACATATTTCCCAACCTCAGTCCCAGGCTCGTCGCGCGACAACCACAGTTCATTACCGTTACCACTGTAGTTTCGCTATATATTCTTCGCTCATGCCTTCGCTCATTGTACTCTTGCTTCGATAGTGCAATTCTCGTTCGTTCACTCAATTGCACTCGTAACACTTGGTATTCAGAGCCTACGATCCCATCTCGGACCGCATCCACACCTTCGCTTCCCCACTATCTCAATTTTTTGGGGGGGTAGACGTCTCTCAGCGACACAGCACCGCCGCTCGTAGTGCTCTCTCGTAAGCACGCACGGCCACGACAGAGGCTCTCGCTGAGCTTGCCCGACACCCCCGCCATGGCCGATTTCACACTCGCCACATTGACGCAGGAACAGCTTGATCGTCTTGTGCGTCAGCTGGAAGAATCGACACTCGAAATCGCGACGCTCACGGCGGAACGGGACTCCGCCCGTCAACAGTCTACGATGAACGCACCGACAACACACCACGCACCAACAAACGCATCTGCACATTCGGATGAGCCGATTGTCATCTCGTCCGGCACACCAACACAACATGACAGCACGGGACAACGCTCAGGCGCAGCCAGTGAGGGCGCCGCCCAGCCGATGCCTGGCATGGGAGGAAACAGGATCGCACCAAGCCCACGGGAGCCTCGAGAAGTCCGTCGGCACGTGGAATTTGCGGCGACAAGTGGCGAAAACACCAACATGGCA